GTTAATCTTGAACTTGGATTCAGCGTTACTAGGTTGTTTATCTCGGATATTCTGTCTTAATCTTTATCTTGGCTTCAGCGTAACTAGGATTGTCATTGCTTACTCGGGTATATTATTTCAGTCTAATATCTGAACTTGATAATTTAATTTGTTAAAACTTATTAAGTTTTGTTTTATTTAAATTTATTATGGCAACCAATAAATCCAGGAAAAGACCAACTTGAATTCCAGTATTATTTGAATAACTCTACACACACACCAGTATTAATATTATCATTTGTTCATTCACTAGCATTCTTATATGGATAAGGTAATTAACATGCATTATTTTAAAATTTCCTATATGGTCTTCACCTAAATGTAAGGACATAATACTGTCAAAGAGAGATTATCTATGGTTAGAAAAGGTCATAAAGCAATGGATCTGTTACCATAAAAATATTTGGGGATATTTGTAGTTATTGTTTCTTTTGGAGCAAGTCTCGATATTGGTATTATAATTCATTTGCTGTCTCAAATTCAATTCATATTTGAATAGCATATTTCCATACCTTAAACTCTGAAGTTTTACTCTTAAGCTACATTTTGGAAAAACTCGCATAAAAAATCTTTTTTCAGATTTATTTTCACATGAAAGAGCATTACGAAAACTATATTTCTACACTGTTCAGGCATTTTTCATATCGGGAAACCAACCTGTGTATACCTACTTTAAAGAAATACGCTACCAGTGAACAGCATTTGAAATTTGTGGAAACTCGTAACAAAACAGTCTTATTGAGAACCGTCTGTTTTGACGAATTTTCTTATTCACTTTTTCGACCGAATAATCATTAACAACAGAAGGCGATCTGTTCTTCGTCAAGAACACTGTTGCACTTATCATTGAATTGTTAAGCCTCCCTTCTCACCATTTCATTCCTCATTACATTTTTACCATAAATCTCTACCAAATTTATTTTCACATGAAAGAGCATGCCGAAAACTATATTTCTACATTGTTCAGGCATTTTTCATATCGGAAAACTAACCTGTGTATACCCACTTTAAAAGAAATACGCCACCAGCGAACAGTATTTGAAATTTGTGAAACTCATTACAAAAACAGTCTTATTGAGATCCGTCTGATTTGACGAATTTTCTTATTCCTTTTTCGACCGAATAACAATCATTAACAACAGAAGGCAGTCCACTCGTTCTTCAACAAGAACACTGTTGCGCTTGTCATTGGTGTTAATACCTCACGTCTCACCATTTCATTCCTCATAACATTTTTACGCTAAATCTCTACAAGCTGACGATGAAATTCAACAGCTGCTTAACATTCCTTGCGTTCAATATACGGATTACAGAACGCACTTCACAGTTGGTGGGATCTGCAATGATCTTAATAAACATTTTGAACTCTCGCTGGCACGTGTAAAAACAACACAGATCGCCTGTAATAGCGTTACTGGACTGACATTCCACCAGAGACAATGGAGCGAAAGTGTTGGACTGCAAAAATGCTACTGTGGTTGCGGTACAACGAAACGGTACTTAGTTTCAAGATACTCTTCAGACAGTAGAGCACACAGGAATTATTCAAGGGGGTCCAGGGTCGTAAGACCACTATTCTACAAATTCTCCAATACGCCACCCAACATATTCTTTTGATTTTGTCGATTTGGGGGAACAAAAAACAGTGGAAATTAATTATGGAATGAATAATTAGCGTTAATTAATAGAATAAATTATTAATAACAAATACTTAATTAAATGTTACTTACTATATATATTGAATCACAATCAATCGGAAAAAAATGGAGGACTTCTGGGCGATCCAGACCCGAGGACCCCCTTCCCCCTCTCTTGTGTGCGCCACTGTCCTCGGATAGGCGGAATTTTAAGCTAAGTTTGTTAAAAATTAAAGAAGTGAACGTCAAATATTTTTCAGATATGGTTTTTGACAAACATAAAGCCTTTCAGTCGGGTGAAATTTGTCAACATTGAATGCTAATAGATTAGATTAGATTTGAAAATACATGTGTTACACTTTCTTCTTCAGGAGCAGAATTTGTTACGCTTGTGGTAAACAAATTAATAATAATCCTATTCTGGATTAAACAAGTCTTATGAGAAATTTTGATCACATTATTTTGAAATTTGAGTTTATTAGTATTTGACAATTCTGTAGCTATGAGTCTCAAAGGAAAATTGTTCCTATAAAACACATTGATATTATACTTCATTGTATAAGAAATTTATTACAGGAGAAAAAGAAATTAAAATTATATATATATATAAAGAAATACTAAAGTAGAGTTGAAATTTGAACTCAAGAAATCTTGTAACTCATATTGCTGCAACTATAAATGAATTTTTGAGGGAAAAATAACAGAAAAGTGCATTTATATTGTGTTTATTATAAAATTAAATATTCTTAATATATTTTAATATTTTTTAAACTTGATGATGCTTTTCAACAAAGTACATGTATAAATGTGTTTTTATGGCGCAAGAAATTTTACTGGTATTGAAAAAAGCTCTATTTCTTAAATGAGAAATTGAAACATTGTTGATTTTCTTTTTAAACAAATGATAATGACTGATAAATTTATATTATTTATACATTTACAGTAATTCCTCCGCATAAACACTTTTTAAAGCGATTTTTACATTTTTCATTCTTAGATTTCATCTTTTATTCTACATTAGAAAACCATGTTGACCTTTTAGATGCATCCGTTAAATCCATGCTAGAATGTTCTTGTAAACTTAAAAACAAAATTAAATAATAAATCAAATAAACAAACTTGAAAGGAAAATTAAATAACAAATTAAAGAAACAGACATTGATGCTTATGTTACAAACATTTTATTTCAACACAAAATCTGGCATCTTCTAACAGCGTGCGCAGTGAGCAAAATTTATTTTCCAAGAAGACCTCCCAGGCCACCTCTAAGGCCAAGGGCTTCCAATAATCCTTTCACCAAGCGAGCCAAAATATCCTGAGGAATTTCCAGGGTGACGAGGTTGTCGTTATTAGACTGTCTTCTTGCTCTGGCATTTGGGCTCATTTCTACTGCCTGCAGAGACAGAAGAAAGACGCACACTACAACCATGATGCAAAAGTAGGCCTTCATCTATAAGGGAAAAAAAATCAGTTATTATTTCGAACAAAAACGTGCATACAAATATTTTACTAATACTTATTTCATAAAGGGAAATTATTCTTGAGTAAATCAAGGATTTTGGAATATTATTTCAATTAAATGATGAATATAATTTTGCCGGAAGCTCAATTAAACAAGAATTCATGATATGAAAATAGCCTGCCAAAAATGAAACCAAATATACTTTTAAAATTATCACCAATTTTTCACTATTTTTTCCGGGACTTTTTAAATTTACTAATGCATATAACATAGAGGGAAAAATTTGAAATTAAGAGAAATATTAAGTTGGTATATGATTTTTTTATTTGCATCCCAATAAATGTCGAAGAGAAACATTATTTTTAAAATCAAACTTTATGAATACTTGTCTAAAAATGTACATAATTTCATACTTAATTAAAATTACTTTCTGTAAATTTTATTCAATGGGCTCAATTCATGTGATGTCATAGTCATATGATAGTGATAGCCACGTGATTTTAACCAACCAATTCATAAACTCATCTGACGTCATAGTTACACGATAAAAACTATCTTGTGTTTCCTGCTAATCAGTTCACGCGCTCCGGTGTTGCCAAGTTTTGCTCTTTGCAAAAACTTTCTCTTAAAAAGTAGATATGTATAAAAATACATTTTATTTAAAAGTATGAGCATAAAAAATAAGATGTTTTTAATTTTAAAAAAATATTTTTGAAGAAATTTTTTTCCTAAGATTTAAACATCTTTACCCAAATGCGAAATTTGAAAATTTATCTGAGTTTTACAAATAGAACAACAAGTACAATTAGTTTAATGTTTGTTTTGAATTAATTGGAAAACACATGTTTGTTTTTATCATGTGACTTCATGAATTGAACCCATCGACAGATATGCAAAAGTCATTAAAAAATTGTAGATTTATTAAAATTTTTAAATAATCTTAATTTCCAAAATTTATTTTTCGTGTTTCGAAAAACAAGGGTATTTTTCAATTTGAAATATGACTTGTTAACACTGCAGAACAGTTGAACAAATTACAGAAAAATATCCGTTTTTTCCATTCTATCTTATTCATTTTAAGTCGTTGGAAAAAAAATTGTGTTTTGTTACAAAACGCAAAATATAGAGTTCATATTAAATGTTTTCGTTAAAGTATTTTACATACAAATAAAAATAGTTTGCGTTTTTAGAAGAGATTTTAGTTTTAAAATAAAAAAAACCTTTAAAATAATGTAAATAATAAAAATAGAAATTTCTTAAATCGATAACTGAAGTTTGATACAGAATGCACAAATATTTGTGTTATTTGAATAAAATCAAACGAACCAAAATTCATCGTAAGGAATTTGACTTAAATTACATAATTTAAGAGTTACTAAGATAGACTTAATAGATAATTTTAAAACTCAACTGGAAAATATAACAGCACTAAAAAAGACATGTGCTATTGCATTTAAAATTGTTATTTTATGCTTTCAATTATTAATTATTCAATTCCTACTATTGGCTACCTCTCTACCTATATGTATTTATAATATATATATATATATATATATATGTATATATATATATATATATATATATGCATATATATATATATATATATATATGTATATATATATGTATATATATATATATATATATATATATATATATATATATATATCTTGTTCAAACTTTCAATATTTAAAATAAAATCTAATTTCTATTCATACATTCAAGTTCAAATATATATTTTAAAACTTGATGTTAATATAGTTTTTTCAAATATTTATTCATTTATTGAATTAAAAGATGAATAAATAGTAACAAAAAATAATTGTCCAACGGTATATATAGAAAGGAAAACCGTTCGTAGTGTCCCTGTAGCGCAATGGATAGCGCGTTGGACTTCGAATCCAAAGGTCATGGACTCGAATGGACATGGGGTGGTCTAATTTCTAAGAATGTGATGTTCTTTTTTACTATACTGCTTTCTTAGAATAATTAAATTTAACAAACAAGAAAAAATAGTCCAACACCACCCTATATAGAATGGAAAATAGAAGATTGTAAGAAAAACCTCCTTGTATTTTGTCACTTAATATTGTGATTCTGTCATATGTATATACATATTTATGTTAATAGTGTAGAAATTGACTTATTTTTATTTATTTATTTTTTGTGTTACTTGTTTTTTTATACATTTTTCGTTCCATTTTATTGTACACATTCAAAGTTACATTTAAATTACTTAATAATATCATTCCTAAATAAATACTGAATTCCTGCTGAAATATATGTAACATTTGTTGAATGATATAAAAAAAATATCTACACCCTAACGGACTTCAAAATTATGGTCTAGTAGCATAGATTATATTACTCAACGAGAGAGAAAGAGAGAGAAATTGAAAAAATGAACGAAACGTATTAATAAAAATTTCAGTATGTGCATATGAAGTTTCAGTGTCATATGAAGCATTTCGACTTGTTTTAAAAGAATAACAAAGTGTTTCAGTTAAAAAAAAGTTAACGCAGCTTATCTTTCAACTAAAACACACACACACAATGTTATTTTTTAAAATTATTTTATTTTTTACTACCTAAACATATTTTATGTATATTTTGAGAGAATTTTTTTAAATGGTAGTTCAATGAAAATGCATAAGTACAATATTTACTATTAAGTTATGAAGTAAAGTCTGTGAAAATTTATTTTTTAATCGATTCAGTTGCCGTATTTGCGTTTTCAAACTCCAAAAATTTAAGAAAAGGAAATCGAGAAAAGGAAAAATAATATAACTATCGAAATAAAATCAGCATAAAAAATTAGTAAATTAACAGAAAGTAATAGTTTATTTTGATAAATTTAGGCGATTAAATAATTTTTATTCTAATTATTATTATATTATTCGCTTCAATATGTGTTTATTTTAAGATATTAATATGTATAAAGCATATTTTAACAAATTTATTTTGATAAATATACGTTTTTATTCCATTTATTATTATAATATTCACTTCTTTAATGTATATATTTACTTCAAAATATATATTTAAGAGGTATAAAACGTTGTAATTACATAAATATATCTTATTTCTTTTGATATTTTTTTTCATAAACTACGCATATGGAAAATATAAGTAACGGATGATAAAAGCAAAAAGATAATACTCACAATTAACTTGATGAAAAGATACACCGGGTGGAAGGTAAAGATAAAGTTATCAGGGGAAGCTGTGAGGGAATATCTTAGGTCCCTACACCTTTTTATACCAAAAGAGAGGTACAAAAAATTATGTAAAACGGAATGACAGAGCCTTTTCAAAATACCTTTGAAAATTTAATCATTAACAGAATATTTGTAACACAATTTTACATAAAATTTTTTGTATTTCTTTGTGGGATGATTTTTAATATTTTAAAACTTATTATTCTAAATGACACAAAATTCTTTTTGCCCAGAAATTATTTTTTTTGATGTAATATACATTACAATTTTGACGTAATCTTTTATCGACAAATCAATGTTGTAATCACTTCCTTTTTTATTTTTTGTATATTCGCTACTGTTTCATTTTAAGTTAATGTTAATTTTGTATCAAATTTGCAAAAAATATTTTTCATATGTCTTTAAAAATATCTTATAATTATTTCTTAAAGATATAGCAACATATAAAGAGCAACTTTTAAAGCAAATTAAAATGCAAATTTCAGTTTCAAAGTTTAAAATTTGAGTTATCTGAAAAGTAGAAAAGGGGTATTTTTTGTAGTGCGTATTAAAAAAATAATTTTTCTATTATGGTATAAATATTATTTAAATACAAATTTTATTAGTGTTTCGTTCTTTGTTTTACGTAATGTTATCAATGCATGGCGTATTTTTTAAGAATAATTCTTAAAAAATACGCCAATGGAATACGTCTATGAAAATAATTTGGGACATGCTTTAAATCAGGTGTTTTCTTTTAAATAGCTTCCATTGTGTCAGTAGGTTAAATCTAGTAATATGATATGCACCATCCTTTTATTTTTGAACCATGTTTCTTTTACCTTAAATATTTGATGTTATTTTAGAATGCATACAATAACACTCCTGTTTTCCGAATGTATTCCGCGGGTGGCTTAAGTTTTTAACATATTCGATTACCCTATCCAGTTGTTATACGTTTCATGCTCCTAATACATACTATGCTGTTCAAATTAATTGGGACAAGCAATTTCTTGTCTGAGTTTGTAAGTGATTATCAGTGATGTCCCAAACCCCCTCAAATTGGTTATATCTGCCAACGAGGTAATGTGATTGATTGACTTTGACTATAATTTACTCTTTTGATTGGTTTTGGTGTATCAATTGTCCAGTTGTGCTTCTTTCAGTGTGACAGCTGGTGGTTATAATTTTGCGTTCCTTGTAACACGTGTTACTTTTACTTGTTCTGAGATGGATAATACCTTAAGGAAGCGTTCTAAAATAACCTCTCATGATTAACACACTGCTATGACTGTGAGAGATATAGCTGTGGTCGTTAGTGAGTGCAACTCAAGTGTTTCAAGAATTTTAAGAACATTTCAACATTTCGAAACCGTCTCCAAAAAGAAACGGAAAACTACTCTAAGAATTCTTAAAATTCTAATAAGAAGTAACAAAATAAGCCCAAGAGTGATAAGCAAATACTTTAGAAGGGTTTATTGGATTTTGATGTTGAAGTGAGCCCCTCAACTATACAAAAACGGCTTCTGGAAGTCATCCGTAAGGCAACAAGATCGACGAAAAAGCAATTATCAGTTCAGCAAAAGGTGAAAAAACGCTTAGCATGGACCAAACAATACTGATCATGGACTGTTAACAACTAGAAAACGTGGTTTTTTGTGATGAAACATATTTCCTTGTGTGCAGCGATGCAAATTAGGGGCTGTTAGACGAAGTGAAGATGAAACTCTGCTACGAGATCGTACCCAACAGATTGTACAACACCTTTCTAAACAAATGTTTTAGGGTTTTTTTTCGCAACAAAGGGCACTAGAAGCTTAGTTCCTCTTAAAGCCATATGAATTATGTCAAATACATAAAAAACATTACGTAATATAATCTTTGCATTCAGGGAAACATTTGAAGGAACATTTTAACATGACTTGGCTTCTTGTCACAATTCAAAAATGGTCCAAACTTATGCAGGAAAATAAAATAAGTGCTTAATTGGTCTGGTAATTCGCCAAACCTAAATTCTATTCAGAATTTATGGCATATTCTCAAGAATCGTTTAGCTAAGATGAGTTGAACGACAACAAAACAAATGATAAGAAGTGCTATACGAGTGTGGATCCACGATGTTGAAGTTAAGAACATATGCGCTGCACTTGTAAAGTCAATACCAAAATGAGTAGAAGAGTCGATTTCTGCAACAGGGGGACATGTTTTATACTAATATAGAGGTTTTTCTGTCAACTTAAGGCATGTAATGATTAAAAGCTAAGGTTTTTTAAAAAAACATTTTCTCACCGTTTGTCCCAATTAATTCAAACAGTATATTATTTTATGACTCTAAAACATTTGTTACATATTTCTCAAGAACGTATAATAAAAATATATTTAATTGTTACGGTAAGTTCCGGCGTATAACGCGCACATTAAACACAATAAACAAGTAATATAAAGAAAAAATTAACGTCAATTCCTGCTTCGTTAAAAAAACGTACTGGCACCATTTGTTGCAGTTAGTTGTACAGAAATAACACTGAATGAATTTAAAAATAAAATATTAAATTTAATTGATGAAGTAATATTTGAAAAAACTGTATTAGTATCAAGTGTCATCCACTACAAGTTTAAAAAAAATATTTGAACTTGATTGGATGAATAGAAAGTATTTTATGAACGATATTGAGAAAATTTGAACAAGATATATATATATACAAGAAGAGAGTGAATAGTAGGAATTCAATGAATAAGCTCGAATTTTCCGAGTGCGCGTTATACTCTGGGTATAAAAATGAGAGATTTAAAAATAAAAAGAGAGAAGAGCTAAAAGAATACTGTATCAGAATACTGTATATTTAAAAGAAATTGCTATCCTTATGAGCATAAAGGGTTGTAGATCTAGAACTGTACTTTTTTTATCGAAAGCTTAGGGTAATACATTGAATAAATAACTTCAAAACCTAAGATTAATGCACACGTATATTTCCCGTTTCTTTGTAAAAAAGGGGTGTGCTTTGTACGGCGAATATATCTAAAATTTAAAAAATGCGGGTTGAAAGCATGGGTGCTCATTATACGCCGGTGCGCGTAATACGCCGGAATTTATGGTAATATTACTTTTGGAGATAGTATGCAACAGAAATGGGGAACATTTTTATATCATTAGAGGCCGCATATAAGATTAAGTAGAAATAAAGGAGATTGCATAGGTTGATGTACCAGTAAATGCGACTTTTATTACATTATTGTAGTTTTTGTATAGATTTAACAATTTTGTGCATTATATAGAAATATGTTTTTCAAATAATTAGATCCTTACTTATTTATTATTTGATTTAAAAAGTTACATTGTAAAATGTTTTTGTATTCACATAAGGGTAAAACTACCAAAGAGTGGAAGTGTTAATTATAAATCAGGAGAGTTTTAGTAATATATTTGTCATATTTTGTTTTGAAATTGCTTTTATAAAGTTTAAATGCATTTTTCTCAAAACTACTTTTTTGTAAATTTCATGATATTTCAAACATAAAATCTAAAAAGCTATTAAAGATACTTGTATGAATTTTTACACAAATGTTATTAATGGTATTATCTAGAGAATGACCTACAATCTAAGAAATTGAACAATTCTTAGTTATTTTATAGTTGTATTTCTTTCTGAAAGTTACGATAATTTGATTGAATTTCCTAGTTCGCAAGCTCGACTGGCTATAACTTTTGATTCAAAAGAAGTAATTTAACACTTGTAGG